GGGGAGAAGGGCATCTTTCCTCCAGCCAAAGCAGTGGCCCCAGTGGAAGGGCTCTCTCTTGTTAGGGGACAGGGAGAAAGGGGATGGATGCGCTCTGGTGACAGAGTCTGGAGATGGCATTTCCAGAGAACTCCATCTTTGCCTTTTTCCCTTAACTCCAATTTAGGCTTGCATTTACTCGTATGCGGGAAATGTGTGCAGTCATGCTTATTCTGAAGCCTAGATTTCAAATCCACTTTAGCTTCAGTGGAAGTTAGGCCTGAACTTAAAGTAAGGTGCTTTTGTGAAAAGTAGATTCCAAAGAGTTCTTTCAATAGTATATATTTATAAAGTATTAAGGTATGCGAGGGTATAAGAATGAATAACACAGAGTTATGCCAGAGCTGCAAAGCTGAGTATGGACTGAACTGACCTGGAAACCAGGCATGTTTTTATAGCAGGTGTTAGTTCTGGCCTTTTCCTGTAGAAAATATTGCTACCAGGAGAGGGAGGATATGTTGATATTAACCTAATAACATATCATGGTTTAACCCCAGCCATCAACTAAGCACCATGCAGCTGCTCACTCAGTCCTCCCCGCTCCTGGTGGGATGGGGAGGAGAACTGGAAAAAACTTGTGGATTGAGATAAGAACAGTTTAATAATAAAATATAATAACAAGAATAATAAAATACAGTAATAATAATGCTAGTAATGAAAAGGACTATAACATAAAGAGAGAGGAATAAAACCCAAGAAAAGTGATGTACAATGTAATTGCTCACCACCTACTGAGCAACAATCCACCCCTCCTGGCCCTTTGCCCCCAGTTTATACACTGAGCATGATGTTCATGTGGTGGAATATCCCTTTGGCTATTTCAGGTCAGCTGTCCTGGCCATGCTCCCTCCCAGCTTCTTGCACTCCTGCTTGCTGGCAGAGCATGGGAAACTGCAAAATCCTTAACTTAGGATAAGACCTACTTAGCAACAACTAAAACATCAGTGTGATATCAACATTATTCTCACACTAAATCCAAACCACACCACTGTACCAGCTATTAGGAAGAAAATTAACTCTGTCCCACCCGAAACCAGGACAAAATGTTGTAAGGCAGCCATGCCATTGTTAAGTGGGCTACAGGTTAAGCATAAGAAAAATGTTCTGGAGACTGTCTAGTGTCGTGACTGTTGACTGATGTCCTGTCTTACAATAAATATGTGCACAAACACTAATGAGCATCAAATGCATTAGGAATATGAGAACGGTGGTTCTGGGTCAGAGAAAGGGTCTGTGCTTTTTCTAGTGCTCTCCTTGGCACTGCCCAGCAGTCAGCTGGTATACTCATGGGCCTACCGACAACCTGCCCAGCCTCTGTTTTCTGGAGAGCTGATGACTACTTATGTGAGAGACAGTAGACAAAACCTAGTTCTTCATATTCTTTCTATTGTTTTACTAGAGAATCTGAAGTTGTATATACCTTGTTTTGTTTATATTTACATCAGCACTTCAATGGTCCCAGACTAAATGGAAATTCTCTACCTGACTGCAGCAAAAGTTGGGCTGAGCCCTCAGATAGTAACCAGCCATTGGTTAACTTTGGTTTTGAAATACAGCAAACTGTGGTGCAATAGGAAATGGAGACAGCTAGAGACGTTAGTTGTATTTTCTGGAAGGAGGTGGAAAATTTTCTAATGAAAAATTTTTGATACTATTAGCATGGAAGTCATAAGAGTGGCACATGACAGCCAAGTATCTTCGTTCAGCTAAAGTAGTGGAGGATGCACTGGGTTTGTTGCTAAGTTAGAGCAATAGCAGCTACTGCTCTAGGCAAATGTTTTTTTAGAATTAGAAGCCATTACTGTCTGAAGCGACACATTTAGAAAATGACTCTACATGAATAATTAGCTCACACAGCAAAGCTGCAGCTACCTGATAGCACAATATTTTTCCCACTTCGGAAGTTTTTTTATGTATCAAAAACTTTCCAATGGTCATCACTGCTAGTTTATTCCCTGCATGACAAATAAGTAGTAAATGAAGGTGTTTTCATATATTGGAACAATCTGCATGTTTACGTTTTCTACAGCTGTTGCAAAGATGTAATTGAAACCCTGAAGAGCTTTTGCTTTTTATACTACTGAAAGCCATGCTAAACAGCTTTTTGCAAATTTCCAGTTTGGAGAACTGCAGAGTAATTATTCAAGTGTTTATGCAGAAGAAAAAAAAAATAATCTTCCTTTAGAGACAATATTTTGCTGCAGATTTTAGTTCTCTCTTTTCTGTTTCGTCTGCCTTTTCTCCAGCTCAAAAATGTCTACTTCCTTAGAAATTGTTCTCATTCGATATGGTAGAATATCTTTGTGTAGTAGCTGAAAAGGAACTGGACCTGTCCTTTATCAGTTGGATACTACACTAAATTCTCATTTCCATAATGCATGCTGCTTTCCTTTACTTATTAAAGAAAATTACCAAACTTTTTGTATTGCTCCCATTCAGCCTCTAGGGACCGTGTATCCATCTGAATGTGTATGGCCCAGCATTACTTTTTGCAACTGAGCTAAAATTCTGTGCCAAATTGTATCGTAACCCAGGAATGAAAATAATAGGGATGACTTACTTGACATATATTCCCTGCAGATTGTTGTGACCAGCTGCAAGTAAATGTAAAAAATATAGGTAGTTCATATTTCTAATTTAATCTTTGACATCTCAGTAAGTCATTGTAATATTAAAATTATTCTCACTATACTTTCTGCATGAAAAACCAAAAGAATATATGTTTTTAATAGAATTTACGCAGGAAAGTATTGACAAAAAATACTAGAGTACTTTTAATGTTTGGTCCTACATCAAACATGCTGAGATGAGTCTTAAAAGCTCACCAGAGAATTCACATTTGCCTCAGTGCTCTTAGTAAAAGCTGTAATTATCTGTATCTTTTCAAAATGCTTAAAATGAAACACAACCTAATTCTCAGTTATAGAACAATGTAGTACAGCAAAGACATTATCATCTATTTTTTCATTATAAGATGCGGGTGCATAACCAGGAAGAACACTAACACAATTATTTCGTAGTAAACCTTTACAATATATAACCATTTAGTGGGGCAGCAAAAAATCAGAACTTATTCTGACTTTATCACAGCAGAACACTTCTGTTGTGTAGGTAGACAACGAGCTTGACTTTCTGGGATATTTTCACTCTCACAGTCCTGTTTCCTCTCCTTTAATTGTGAGGAACCTCACTACCCAGCGATTTTTGTGGGGGATTAGGGTTAGCCTAATTGC